AAAACCTCAAATAATGGAGCACTGACAATTTCTGAAAGCAAGCTGTTCCATTGGTTAATTGTTCCCACTGTTAGGAAATTTCTCCTTAGTTCTAGGTTTTTGATATTTTCCTTTCTGTGTCTTTAAGAGAAGAAACAAGACTAGTAGCCCTCGTGAGAAACAACAGGTCAGTGGCAAAAGATACATTTTGCATTGAAGGTCACAGCTTCAGTTCCTAATACAGTATTCTCACTTAAAACAGGGGAAGGCAACCTCTAATCTTGAGCCACAAATAGGTCACGTGGCTTAAGTCATTTTGGTTGATAGCCTACACAATCCTCTTTAAGCATAACTCTTGAAGATCAGTGGCATCTTGCACCGTTTAGCCATCCATTTGCATTTTTACTGCATTTTATATCCATCCTACTGCATTTTTATACTGATATAAAAAAGATGTTGAGACAGCAGAAAAGAGCAACAAAGATGATTAGGGGGCTGGAGACTCAACAGTTGCAGGAATTACAATGCAGGAATTACGTATGTCTCGTCCAGTGAAAAGAAGGACTAGGGATGATATGATAGCAGTGTTTCAATATTTGAGGGGCTGTCATAAAGACGAAGGGGGGAAACTGTTTACCAAAGTCCCAGAAGGCAAGACAAGAAGCAATGGATGGAAACTAATCAAGGTGAGAAGCAACCTAGAACTAAGTGAGAACAATTAAACAGTGGAATGGCTTGCCTTCAGAAATTGTGGGTTCTCCCACCTTGGAGGCTTTTAAGAAGAGACTGGACAGCCATCTGTCTGGAATAGTATAGTATATAGGGCCTCCTGCTTGAGCAGGGGGCTGGACTAGAAGACCTCCAAGATCCCTTCCAATTCTTGTTATTCTATACTTTCTTTCCTACCTTCACTCAACAAACTCTAGGTGGCAGGCTACTTCTAAAAGCAATAATGAGAATTTAAAATATTTTTACAGCCGAGGGGAAGGGGGAGGTCTATGCATGCTTCTCCGGTTTTGACATCGTGCTCAGAAGGTCTGTTTTTTACTTTAAGGATTTTAATGGCGATCCTGAAAAACTCTCTAATGAGTGGAAAAAGAGAAGAGTCAATATATCAGAGATAATGAGAGTTTATTAACGGTGAGCATGCTTTCTCTGATTTTTTTTTCTCTTTCTTTCTCATTTATATAACTCTCAGGTTCACAAGAGTTGAAAATGGAAAAACAAGTCTCTAAATAAGTAATAAAATCACCTTTTGTAACATCTATATTTCATCAGGCAGCCAGTGACACCATAGTCTTAGACAATTCGGCTAGAATTCAAATTAAAGGAACAAGAGGCACCAGGCCAAGATATGTGGGGGGAAAGAAATAGCTCCTGTAAATGAAATGTCTCTTTTCAAAATCAGAGGAGTTAAGTCAAGTAGATATAATTAGAGTTTGTTCTTTGGAGATTGAAAATAAAACATATGTAAATAAAAATGCCCAAAACATTTTTCAGGAATCAGATTTTTGAAAATGAAAGAATGTAAGGATTGGAGGAATTATATGAAGTCTCTACATGGGGTCTGCTGAAAGATATATCACTGATTGCATTCAACTGAATTGTTAACTAGGACATTTCTGTGACTGGGCTGAAGAGGCAAATATAGAATAACAGGTGGTCCTTGACTTACGACCACAATTTGGACAAGAATTGTTATGCAAATCACTGCAGTTGTAAAGTGCATCAAGCAGTCCTTAAGCAAATCCGGCTTCCCACATTGACTTTGCATGTTGGAAAAGCTGCAAATGATGAACACATGGCCCCTGGATGCTGCAACTTTGCCAAGTGCCTGAATTTTGACCATGTGTCAGGATGCTATGATAGTCATAAATATGAGGACAGGTCATGAGTCATTTTTTTCAGTGCCGTTGTAACTTCAAATGGTTGCTAAGCGAATGGTTGTAAGTCAAGGATTACTTTTAATATCTGTTGAATCACAAAGCCTGATAGAAATGCAACTTCTGGCAGCAAACGCAATCCGGTCATGGTACATGCAAAAATACCTGGGTCTTGAATGAACATAATTGCCACCAATGTAAAATGGACCCAGTATGATCTTCTCCTGAGCAAACACCCTGACCTAGAAAAATATAAAATGTTAAACCAGTGTAGCTGAGTTTTTATTCTAACATACTAAATGTTGACATGAACGAAACAGGGTTGTTTTTCTGCATTCACCTGAGTGCACAGTCCTAACCCTCCAGTTTTAAACCAAGTTAAAGAGAAATAGTTTATAGCAGACCTGTCAAACTCGCGACGTCACGTGACATCACACAACATATCGGGACGGTTTTGCCATTGCTGGCAATGGGGTGGGTGCGGTTTCCGGATGACACATCCGGCCCACAGGCTGGCAGTTTGACACCCCTGGTTTATAGTGATATAAGTCAGGCAAATTTGCTGTTTGATTGAGAGTTTATGCGCTAGAGACAAAATCCTTGTGTGTCCAATCACCTAGTCTAGTCCACTGTAGTCTAGTCTAGTCCTAGTCCTATTCTAGCAACCTGGGAAAAACACCACAAGCTTTGCAAAGAGACAAGAGACAATATCACTGCAGAGGAATAGGGCCATGTTTTCTGCTTGGAAGCCAACACACTGTGCTTCTCCTTGTAGCAAATGTCATCATAGCACTACTTTGATTGTGTTCTCCTTCTACTCTTTAAATCACCACATCTTTTTTCTAACAGCAGTGTAAGACACAGTCAGAATATTTCATTTCTTTCTAATTCGCCTGCTTGTTTGGGATGTATATGTACACCAGATATGAAACCACAGCTGCCAGTTCTTTAGCTGGGGTTGGCCTTCATACACATTAAATTCTTCCCAAGAACTAGGATTTCATACAGGTAGTCCTTGACTTACGACCACAATTGAGCCCAACATTTTTGTTGCTGAGTGAAACATTTGTTAAGTGAATTTTGCCCCATTTTATGACCTTTCTTGCCACTGTTGTTAAGTGAATCACTGCAGTTGTTAAGTTAATCACACAGTTGTTAAGTGAATCTGGCTTCCCCATTGACTTTGCTTGTCAGAAGGTCGCAAAAAGGGATCACATGACCCTGGGACACTGCAACTGTCGTAAATATGAATCCGTTGCCAAGCATCCAAATTTTGATCATGTAACTAACTATGGGGATGCTGAAATGATCGTAAGTATGAAAAATGGTCATAACTCACTTTTTCAATGCCATTGTAATTTTGAATGGTCACTAAATGAATTGTAAGTCAAGGATTACCCGTAATAGTTCGTATAGTATGTAAGTGGATCAAAGCAGCACGGCCTTTTGTAGTTAACAGAAGGAAATTTTATTTTATTTATCTAATGTTGTCAATGCACAGATTTTCTAAGCACCATTCAAGATTTTTTGGCATGGCCCCAGTGTACCAATAACCGCTGGGACCACCAAGGCCAGTTTCTGCCATAATCTTTAGTAAAATATATTATTATTATGCTCATCATACAATCAACTAAAGTTTTAGAGTGGATTTGGCACTTTTATTTGCCTATCAAGTCCTTCCTAAGAACCTGGACTAGGCAGGCAAGTTGTTGTTGTTGTTATCATTATCATTATTATCATTATTATTATTCCCTGAGAATTGGGGATCATAAAAGTAACATCTAGTAACCACACGGTTCTTGTTTACCTGTGGGCTGTTTTAAGATATTCCAAAATTAGGCAGATCAATTTCTTTCTACATCCTTCTGTTATTGCACCTAGTAGCAATAATAATAATGACAATACCTCCAAAATTAAAATAGATTTTCAAGCTAATCAGAGGTTTCATATATCTTGTTTGCCTTTTTACTACTGTATGGGGGAACTGCAAAAACCATGTTGCTAAATTTGAGCAGTTTACTTTTGATATTGGAGATTGGGGAAGGGTGGACTTCAGGAGAAGCAACAGAAAGATGCTGGAGATGCATTTGGCTCACAGCTCTGGATTCCCTCCACCTGCCTTTTAATCATTGGCCAAGAAAAGGAATACTATGGACGTCTTGCATTATTGCATAACAATAATACTATTAGGTGATAGAGATTTTCTTACACGCCTGCCTATCCATTTGCTTGCTATTCAATTCCTTCACTGCTCAAGCAGAGGTTTTGACACAAATCCCAGAGTCCCTAGTGGTTCAAACTGGGGACTGATGCTCCAGTTCCTAACACTTGGGGGTGGAGGGGGGGGGGAAGCTGCGCATGCCCAGTGAAGGTTTTTCCAATTGCATGGCCACAGCCGAGCTCAGAATGGAACCGCTTTGGCCCGCATGACGCTCCATGTTTAAACCAGCAACAACAGAGCATGCAAGAAGACTTGGTTCACTTCACAGCAGTGAGTTTAAATGAATGTGTTTAGAGCAATGTAGCTTTTGTTGAAAATATATACATGCATACATATATACACAGGTAGTCCTCGACTTACGAGCACAATGAAGCCCAAAACTTCTGTTGCTAAGTGAAATATTTGTTAAGTGAATTTTGCTCCATTTTACGGCTTTTCTTGCCACCGTTGTTAAGTGAAATCACTGCCATTATTAAGTGAGTAACCCAGTTGTTAAGCGAATCTGGTTTCCCCATTGACTTTGCTTGTAGGAAGGTCACAAAAGGGGATCATATGACCCCGGGACACTGCAACTGTCATAAATATAAGTCAATTGCCAAGCATCCAAATTTTGATCACGCAACCATGGGGATGCTGCAACGGTTATAAGTGTGAAAAATGGTCATAAGTTGCTTTTTCAGGGCTGTTGTAACTTTGAATGGTCACTAAATGAACTGTTGTAAGTCAAGAACTACCTGTGTACACAGACAAACATACACACAAAACATACAGGAGTGTGTGTATAGAGAGTATGTATGTGTGTGTCTGTGTGTACATATATATATCACGTATGTATAAGTATACACATACAGTATATATTTCTAGCAATACAATCAGCGGGAGAAGACATGTTCACTGTTTTCACATTTTTAATTCAGGAGGTCCCTGCATCTGAAGGAATAACACATAAACACACCTGATGAAATGCAGAAGATCTCATAGCTGTGGATGGATGTCATATGGACTTATTTGTGTAATCTACAGTGCTTACAAGATATTTTTACAATGATTTTTCCCCCACCACTTTCTGTCATAAGTTCCCTATGAAATAAGTATAAATAGTTGGTAGAATATACGTAATTATTTACATAGATGTGTCTATGTGTGTGTATGCACAAACACGATATACACATGCATATCCTTATACTGTATTTACATTTATCAGGGAACATACCAAATGAAATCAGTCGTGCTTTGTATAAAAGAGACCGATGTTTCTGGGTGAAATTATCTTGTATCTTCTGGAAGACAGAAGCGAAGCAGAGCAATAACTTGTTGTTGTCGAACCAAAATGTCATGTTTGATTTGCACATATCAACCAGATCTGGGCTGTAGCTTCACCTCACAAGGTCTTTGGCTTCTCTGCCCTAGAATTGTACCACCGGCGCTGTACAGGTAGTCCTCGACTTACGATCACAATTAGGACCAGAATTTCTGTTACTAAGCAAGGCAGTCGTTAAATCCAATTTTATGACCTTTTGTTGCCATGGTTGTTAAGTGAATCATTAAGCAGATCCAGCTTCCCCCATTGACTTTGTTTGTCAAAAGCCAGCTAGGAAGGTCTCAAATGGCCATCCTGTGACCCCAGGATGCTGCAACCATTGTAAGTGCAGGCCAGTTGCCATTTTGAATTTTGATCATGTGGCTGCAGGGACTCTGTAATGGCCGTAAGTGGGAGGGCCGATTGTAAGACACTTTTTTCCTACGCTGTTGTAACCTTGAATGGTCACTAAATGAGTGGTTGTAAATCGAGGACTATCTGTACTTGTTCTTCATATTGATTGCAGGTTTCCACCCCTGAAAATGGTCTTTGTTTTCTTCTTCCATCGTATCTGTGTCAAGCATTTAATGTCTTTAAGAAATTTTTTCCATCTAAAAGGGAAATTAGGGAGGGGCTATGCCCAGTCCCTGGGGAATCCTTTCTTTGTGTCTGTGTAATGTAACCAATGATGTACAACGGGAAGACACAAGTTGAGATCCTCAAGGCCCTGGACATGACTGTTTAGTACAACTGCTGGAAATCTCCAAAGGTTCCTACAAATTTTTAATCTTTCATGTGTAGGAAGTGAGAAATTTCAAAAGCCCAAATTCCTATCTGGAACATTATCATACTCACTATACTTAATTTCAATTAAATTTTATGTGTAAATGAACTCAAAGACAATGTAGTTTTTATTCTGGCTCTCGTTCACTACTTTATGCCGTAACTCCTTGTACATAGAAATCCTTTTCATCTAATACAGTGGTTCTCAACCTGTGGGTCGGGATCCCATTTGGGGTCAAACGACCATTTCACGGGGGTCGCCAAACAACGCAGTCTGCCATTTTTCCCCCTTTTCCTTAGCTGTGCTACTCCCTTTTATTCTATTGGCTTTTGAAAGCCAATAGAATAGACTCTCTTGAATAGAGTCTAATTCTATTGGCTTTCAAAAGCCACTAGGAATTGTCCAGGCTGTCTCTGCCCTGCTGAGCCCGCCAAAAGTCCCATTCTGCAAACGGTGCTGCACCAGTTGAGTAGTCCTCGACTTACGACCGGTTGAGTAGTCCTCGACTTATGACCGGTTGGGGGTCATGGCATTAAAAAGGTTGAGAACCACTGATCTAATATATCTCTTCCCAAAGGAAAAAGTCTGGGTAAACTGGCAAAATCAACATATTGTCCTGGGAATTTTCTCCCCTGTTTGAGGATGACAGCATCAAACAGGACAGGACTGTGTATTCCAACAGGTTTACACATTGTGAACTCCTTCTGGAATGGGGAGGTTCTCCTTAGCCTGCTCTATGCAATCCACCTTCTTTTACATAAACTCAGACAGAAAGGGATAGATGCTCTATTGTTTCCTCATTTTGTGAGCTTTTGTGGGTCTTCCACAACCACTCATTTTGGAAGGAGGAGGGGAGGAAATTCCCTATTTTTGCACAAGGAATATCCTGTATTGTGTTTTTGTTCTGCTTGGAACTCATCAGGACTCATCTGGATGGGGGAAATAGACAAAATACTTACAATCCTCTTGGATCTGAATATCTCAAAGTTGCTTTGGATACTGTAGGTCACTGTCAGAACTGAAGAAGCTTCTTGGATAAGAAACGAAACGTCTTCAAAGAAAAACAAAGTCCAGTTGCCTTTTGAAAAAGCACCCTTGGGACAACCTTGACCAACGTTTGATTGATGTGGACCAAGGTTTCATCGTCACAAACCCTTGAGGGACACCACATCTATGGTTAACAATGAAACACCTGTATACGCCATACCATATATGATTTCTCCCCATGGATAGCATCCAAGAATTCAGGAAAGAACCACAGAACTTGGCCAAGTGAGAAGCATGGTGCTTTGTCAGATTTTGGCCATTTAGTTATCCTTTTATTTTGATCTTTACACCAAGGAACACCTTCAGGATTAGGGTTTACCAAAAAGGCTAGTCGTTCTAAGGCCGTGTTTCTCAACCTTAGCAACTTTAAGATGGGTGGACTTCAATTCCCAGAATTCCCCAGCCAGCTTTCTGAACTGAAGAAGCTTCTTGGATGAGAAATAAAACATCTTCAAGGAAAACAAAGTCCAGTTGCCTTTGGAAAAAGCACCTTTGAGACATGGGCCTTTTATGCCCCCAAACCCACAAAACTACTCTGTCAAAAGTTCAAAGCAGAATGCCAAAGGATAGAAATGCATTTTCATCCATCCACCCTGGTCCCATTTTCAATAGGCAGCTGTATGTCTATGGAGATTCTCAGTCATCCAGGTCATAATTATCCCAAAGATGCTTTTTCAGGAGGGAACTGGACTTTCTTGTTTTTCTTTGAAGAAGTTTCGCTTCTCATATAAGAGGCTTCTTCAGCTCTGATTGAATGGTGGGGATCTTAGGCAGCTAAAAGAAACTAAGCCTTGAAGTATACCTGTACTTAAAAGAAATGGAAAACAAAGTGTCCCGAAAAGTGGGAGGGGGGAACCAGAGCATGAAAACCATCCTGACACTTCTGGTGACATCATTACATCATGTCTGCATTCACAGTAATCCTCTGTAAGCAAAATAAATTCATCACAACAATAACCATAATGATTTATAATGCAGTGTTGGCAACTTTAAGATGTGTGGATTCAACTCCCCAAATTCTCTAGCTAGGATGCTAGCTAGAGAATTCTGGGAGTTGAAGTCCACACATTTTTAAGATGTGGAGATTGAGAAACACTGATATAAACAATCAGTTGCCCAAACTTTGCCTGCAAGGTGCCACCAACTGGAATTTGCTCAGAGAAACACCTTAGAGCAGTGTTTCTCAACCTTGGTAACTTTAAGATGGGTGGACTTCAATTTCCAGAATTCCACAGCCAGCGTGGCTGTGGAATTCTGGGAGTTAAAGTCCATTCATCTTAAAGTGTCCAAGGCTGAGAAACACTGGTGTCAACGCTGCAAATATTGTATATTCTTGCTTTTGACAATATGCAGAATTGTCTGGTAAATATGGGGTTAATAAAGAGCAGAAGGGGCGTTGGGGGTAAAGCCCGGGAAAGAAAGAGGAAGAAAACATTTGACCTTCACACTAATTGGATAATGTGAGATATGAGCTAATTTAGGGAGGGAACATGCTGATAATTTAACTGCTCAGAGGAAGAGAACTTAGATCCTAGCATCCCTCCGTTGTGCCTGTGCCGACATTTTGTAACAATAAAAGACTTCTAGGAAAATAAATGCCTGGAAGTTCTTTGAAATGTTTCATTAGCCAGAACCACAACAACTGGTTTAGAGCACTAGATCAGCGGTTCTCAACCTGTGGGTCGGGATCCCATTTGGGGTCGAACGACCATTTCACGGGGGTCGCCAAACAACGCAGTCTGCCATTTTTTCCCCCTTTTCCTTAGCTGTGCTACTCCCTTTTATTCTATTGGCTTTTGAAAGCCAATAGAATAGACTCTCTTGAATAGAGTCTAATTCTATGGCTTTCAAAAGCCAATAGGAATTGTCCAGGCTGTCTCTGCCCTACTGAGCCCGCCAAAAGTCCCATTCTGCAAACGGTGCTGCAGCAGTTGGATAGTCCTCAACTTACGACCGGTTGAGTAGTCCTTGACTTACGACCGGTTGGGGGTCACGGCATTAAAAAGGTTGAGAACCACTGCACTAGATGGAGGCATCGCTGGATGAGGCACGTCCATAATTCCCTCCATGCAATGCCTCCTCTGGAATGTCTCATGCATAGGAATTATATTAGAAAGGCGAAGCTACCTGTAGCACACTACATCCAAAACGTAATTCCTCCCTTGCTACTAGCATGGATGCACTTAGATGAGAACCAATGAAACCACTTCTATGTGAAGAGGCTTTTCACATAAATTTAGAGCTGCCCTTGACAACATTTAAGTAATTTTTAAACAGCTTCCCTCCCCATTCCAGTAATACCCCCCAGGGAGACACTGGTGCATTCACCTGAGATTCACCAACTTTCCAGCTTAGCATATTGGCATTTGTTTTGCATTTCAAACTAGTGAAACTAATACGCATTTGTTTGGAGAATGTGGTTAGCTCAGTTTCCTTTAGCCAGCTGCCTGCTCTCCAAACATGCTGGACTACTGCACATGAGCTGCAAGCTGGGATAAGCCTAGATTACAATAAACGCCAGTGCCCACCTTATTCCGGTTCTTCCAGCAGTGAATTCATTGTCTCCTGAGTTTGAGAGTCATTTAAGAAGATGTTTTGCTGAGTCACCTCTTCTGATTGCAGGCCAAATTTGCAGGACAGCCCTTGTCAAGAAAGGCGAGGGGGATACACACGCCTTTATTACTGTACACTACAAGTTCAGGCTGATTCCTTGTGTCAGCAAGGGATAGAAACAAAACTGTAGTTGTAATGAGGAAGAAGAGACTTGTAAAACGAACGTAACAGAGGCTTCCTGGAGACTTTTCAAAAGAGGCTTGCTGTCCACCTTTCTAACAACTGGATGCAAAGCTATACAGGTAGTCTTTGACTTACATCCTCAGCTGAGAATTTCCACTGCTAAGCAAGGCAGTTGTTAAGTGAGTCACAGCCAATTTTACAAACTTTTTTGCCCAGGTTATTAAGCAAATCACTGAGGTTTTTAGTGAGCCACATTGTCCTTAAGCAAATCCAGCTTCGCCCATTGACTCTGTTTGACAGTAGTCAGATGGGAAGGTTGTATGTGGCAATCACATAACCTGGGATACTGCAACAGTTGTGAATACATGCTGGGTGCCAAGCATCCAGGTTTGATCACTCAACCCTGTGTGGATGCTGCAATAGTCACAAGAACAGGTTGAAAGTCACTTTTTTTCAGTGGCGTTGTAACTTCAAATTGTCACTGAATGGTTGTAAGTCAAGGACTACTTGTACAGCAACTCGGAATATCTGCAAAGTGGTCAAAAAAGTCAAAATAGTGGCCACAAAGCATGCAATTGAAGGCCCATTCCCATTTTTTTTACATTCAATCATATGATTCTAGCTGCCATTTTGACTTTTTGGGAGGGCGCTGCAGATACCCTTGCTGCTACTGAGTCAGTAGGGGC